TGCCTGAAATTACTGATAGGATGAGACTGTAAAGCTTTGGCTCACTGGACATATTCTGGTTTTAAGAACAGAGTTAGTTCCTATGCTGGACTGGTATGCTGGACTTCACCTGCTTTGTGAGCAGAGGTTTCTCATATATCAACATAAGGAATAAAGTTAATTCTTATACTGCCTATACAGGTAAACTATTTAGGAAAAAAGTTTTCAGAGTATTCTTACAGATGCAAACTCTAGTCAGTGCACTCAAATATACCCAGCTCCATTTGCCCACATACTCTGGATATATAACTTATTGCAATTTTTTTTCTTTATACATAAACTGCTAACTCTAGAGCCAAGGTTTATCCTATAGGACTGGAGCCAGTATCTCCAAGCTCCTCAGACAGTCCATCTGGGAAGACAGACTGCAAGTGAACTGCAAAGTTCAATATGGATACTCACATCTCCGCAGGACTCAGAATGTCTCCATGATAACTTGATATGTGAATAAGACCCAGAATTAGATAATATGAACCCATTTCTAGTATCCATATTATATTTCTTAACTGATGGAGTCAATCAGTTCTTCCCTCACGTGACACCTGGGCAGGTCAAACTGAGGTAACCTTATTCTCACCTCCATAAAATTCACCTGTCTCCAACATACTGAAGGCTTTCTCAGATGTTTCAGCCATCAAGCCATTGCTTCCTCTGGTTTATATTAGCTTTGACTGACTTCATCAATCTCCTCCTTTCTGGTTGTGTTGCAATCTGCTTGAAAAAGTACTGACCAATTCATCTTATACTTTTTGTTTGGCCTCCTTCAACTTCACAACTGACTCAGACATAAAATCTTTGAACATAAACTCTATCACAGTCCAGTTTTCACTGCCTATTTAACCTCATAATGCATTGAGGCATTAGAGGACTCCTTTACCCTTCCAGTGATATCATATTCAGTCACTGTGCTTTCTTCTGAATACCACTGCATTCTTTCAGCATCCAAAATAACCAGTGTTGCACTGGCTTTGCTTAAATTTTTCATTTTTGTATTAGTTCATCAGTGGTGCCCATAGTGCCTTCCTCTTCACCACTAACTGAGCAAGTGCCAAGATAAGATACAGTCCAAACTCTCTCTATTCCTTTGCAAGCTCGCCCCATCTCCACACACATATGTACTGCACTGATCTGTCAGGAAAGAAAGCTGTGAGTTCAACAGAACAGCAACTGCCCTGTGTTTTGAGGTTATGAGGTCCTGATCCATGGGCACTACCATAATTTCAAGTTTAACAAGAAGATCAGACAGCTGCAATGTTAGTAAGTTGAGAGAGATTACATTAGTCTGCTACACAGTACATCTGTTTCCATTATTCAGGCCAGAGTTTGACAATTATAGCAAATATCCAGCTATTAATGGATCAATTAATGGTGACAAGATTTTTCTCATGAAGACTATGTAGACCAATTTTTCAGTTCCACATCTAACCTTTTGTGGTTTCCAAAGCAGACAGTACCTTTCAGGTCCTTGCTGAGTGAGTCATATCTAATAGACAGTGCCTCCTTATTTCAGAATCCCAGGATCATCACTGACTTCCAGTGAATTTTCCAGTAAAGCACAGGTCATTGTTAAAATCTAAAATATCTCAATTATCAATTCTAAGTAATCAGAGTGGCTGCCTTTGCTTGTGTGGTAGTGTGCAGCACACAAGGTAATAAAATGAGTAAAACTATTTCCATAAAAGTGTCTTGAATTAAAATACATGTTACCCTTGTTCCTGCTAGTACAAAGGATATTGGATTTCTTATACAGGGACAATTGTTAAGAGACAATTACTCTTGAAACTGTTGACAACTGGAATATAATTAGGGGTGGGCAGAAGAGGATATACATGTTTTTCTGATAGGGCTAATAGACCAGAAAAGCTGTTGTGATTTGGATTTTAAACCCAAATCCTCCATGAGCTTCAAGAATCATGTTAAAATATTTCTGAAAAAGCATAATTATGGAAATAGCTGCACAGAAGTTGAAGTTGTAGCCATCAGTGCTTAGCATCTCTAAATGTCTTGTAAGCAAATTTTTTATGATAGCAAGTGAAATGAAAACATAGGATGAGATGGATGAAGGAAGGTATACAATCATAGACCAAACTGTATTCATAGCTCAAAGAAATCTAGAACTCACTTTGGAGCACCTAATCTGGTCTGAGAAGATTTTGGAGTAACAGTCATGAGAATCCATCCTGCTTCCCCTACATTGTTGCATGGTCTATGCCCTGAAAACCTGTCTCTTGCAGTGTTAGACATTCATTTCCTCAGCTCTGTACTTTCTCCAAAGTGATAAAAACCATCAAACATTAAAAAATAGCTAAAAACCCACCACAAATCACAGTTTGTTGAGCTTATTATAAATAATTCTTAAAAAGAAAAGTTAATATAAGAGAAAAAATATTTTAGCAAAAATCAGAGGGGGAAAAACAGAATACAAAGCAGAATAAAAAAATAAAATCAGTTTGACAGAAGGATTGACCTTAGCAGCAAGTCTTCATTTTTTGCTAGAACCTCCCCATCCTGCCTTAGCCTGTCTTTATTGACTCTTTTAAGAATTCAGTGATAGGCACATCCAGCATTAATCTTCTATGGTTTATGTTATATCACTTTGTGATGCAATACTAACTCTAAAAGCTTCTCACTTTACATTCTTGCGATATAATATGCTTCTGGTTCCAGTTCTCTTTGTAGTTTGTGTCCTGCAAAAGTCTGAAATCAGAGATATGAACAAGAGCTTCTTTCTGAAGAGAACTTGAAGGGCTGCACTATCCTAAATGCTGGCTTCCCTCATTATAGTAAATTCATGTGAAAAACGACATGGAGTTGATGAATTCATATTTCTACATTAATTTATTTCATTGTCTGAAGCATTTGTATTTCCCCATTAATTTTGCATTCTATGATGGCACAGCTTTGCTCACACTTGCCCTTCATTTATATCTTCATTTATGTCTCTAAACGAAATACTTGTCAACTCACCTAAAAGGAGCTCAAATAAGTTATGTTCCTTTGCTGGTCAGTCATAAATATATATCTGATCTTTCTTCCACCAAGAGTTTCTATGTAACACTTAACATTTAGAGCCCTTCAACTTACTTTTGGATGCTCTCTAGGCAACTCCTCTCTTACCAGATGCTTTACAGCTCCTCTTTGCCTTATTCATTCACCAGGTCTTTCACTGAACCGTATTTTTTCCAAATAATTACGTCTCTGAGCCGTTCCCTCCTCGCTCTCTAAGAAACCTCTTAGCGCTAGTAAGAATTAAGCCACTAACCCTGCTCTTCACTTTTTATCTAGCCTTAGGCATGCCGTTAAAGCAGACTCAGCGCTGCCCATCACTTGCCGCAGCAGTGGCAGTGGTGGCGGTGAGAAAAGATAGGGAGAGGTTGGTTGTCAGCCCAGAGGAGGGGGCGAAAGGGATGTCCCCTCGGGCCGTGCTGCCACGGTAGCAGGGACTGGCTGTCCCGCTCCGGAGCTGTCCAATGTACCTGCGCTCCCGCGCACCTTCCGCAGCCCCAGCCCTGCCC